AGGTCTCTTGTAAGGTATCATTACAAAGCTTATAATCTACTTAGTGTGTTTATCCTATTTGTATGAATGTATCATTTTTGTATCTGAAGCTGGAAATATGAAGTATTACTTTGAAGTCCTATTGTAATTATGCAAAGTGTGGGCCATTAATGGTGGCTTGGAATCTTGATGACTCCCATTGGCTAGGACAATTGGCTGGAAATGGCTCTGATTACTTGCAAGTCTTCCTGTGTCCCTGTGAGTCAGCCCAGGAAGAATGGAGGCTTGGGGTCTCACAGGACATGTGACCATGTCACCTGGTACTGGAATCCATCTTAAACCTGGTGCTTTTCCATTTAGAAGGAGGAGTGGGAACCCAGAGAGACAAAAGATTCCCACCTTGTGGCAAAGATATAAAAGGGGGCTGCCAGTCATGAGAGAGCCCCTAGTTACCACCTGAGCTGGAACTAACAAGGACTGTACCGGGGAAAGGATTAGGCCCAGACTAGGAAGAAGTCTAGTCTGTGAAAGAAGCTTATTGAAACATCTCGGAGGGTGAGATTTACCTGTATTCAGTTTGTTAATGTATTAGGCTTAGACTTGCATGTTTTGTTTTATTTTGCTTGGTAACTTACTTTGTTCTGTCTGTGGTTACTTGGAACCACTTAAATCCTACTTTTTATACTTAATAAAATCACTTTTGTTTAATAATTAACCCAGAGTAAGTGATTAATACCTGGGGGAGCAAACAGCTGTGCATATCTCTCTATCAGTGTTATAGAGGGTAGACAATTTATGAGTTTACCCTGTATAAGCTTTATACAGAGGAAAACAAATTTATTTGGGGGTTGGATCCCATTGGGAGCTGGGTGTCTGGGTGTTGGAAACAGGAGTACTTGCTGAGCTGTTTTCAGTTAAGTCTGTAGCTTTGGGGGCATGGTTCAGACCCTGGGTCTGTGTTGCAGCAGGCTAGTATGTCTGGCTCAACAAGACAGGATTCTGGTGTCCCAAGCTGGCAAACAAAACTGGCTCAGATGTAGTTTCAGCATATCAGGTGACAGTCCCAAGGGGTTCTCTGTGACCGAACCCATCACCCCACAAATGAGCAAAATCGGTAAGCTTTGCTATCCAAATATGATTTCTTCAATTGGTCAGCCATGTCTAAATTCGAGGACCAATTACCTGAGGCCTTGCATGAGGAGGTCTGGGTATTGGTTGCGGAAGACTGCTTGATGGCTAAAACATCCCAGCAGTCTGCCCTTGATATTGTGGACACTTCAGCCCAGGTCATGGTCTTTGCAGTGACTATGAGGAGGACTTCCTGGCTGCACAACTCTGGGATTGCTCTGGACATCCATCCAGTAAGCCACTGAGGACTTACCCTTTGACAGCCGAGTCTTATTCTCAGACAAGACTGATGACAGTTGGCTCTCCTTCAAGGATTCCAGGGCTGCCTTGAGGTCCTTGGGAGTGAACATACTGTCCTCACAAAGATGCCACGATAGGGCACAGCAGGACCATTCCTTTGTACAACCTTTCCCTCCCTGAAACAGCGGGAAGAAGGATAGATCCCACAAGAGGAAGCATTTGGGCTCAGGCTTTGGACAGTTCACATGCCCGACCCCCATAGGCTGAATGCCCATTTTGACTCCTTTGTTCGGAGCACTGGTTCATCATTAATCCAACCCCTTCATCTCCCTATCCCTTTGGGGATAGGCTGGTCCACTTTTACAATGCTTGGGACTTGATTACCTCAGACAGCTGAATCCTAGACACTGTCAGATCAGGCTATGCAATTCAGTTCCATTCTATGCCCCTCCCCCCCTTTCCACTTCCCTTCCCTGTCCCTCTTCAGGGTCCTCTTTCACGAGACACTGCTCATCAAGCAGGTCAGCGCTGTTGAAGTTCGGAGTGTCAGAGGAGGTTCCACTGGAACACTACAGCCATGACTTTTACTCCCGGTACTTCCCGATACCAAAATCCAAGGGCTGGAAAAGACCTAATTCTTGAACTTTGAGGCCTCAAAAAATCCATTGAGTGCATGAGATTCCACATGGTCGTTCTGTTGGCTATCCTCCCTACACTGTCTCAGAATGATTGGTTTGCTGCACTGGACCTTTAGGATGCTTACTTTCATGTGGCCATTCTACTGAGCCACAGGAAGTTTCTGCATTTTCTGGTGGTAGAATGCCACACTTCTCTTGTTTTGGCCTCTCTTCTGGCCCCTGCTTCTTTACGAAATGCATGGTTGTGGTCATGGCATATCTCAGGAGGAAGGAAGTCCACATCTTCCCATACCTCAATGACTGGTTGCTGAAGGGCAGCTCCAGAGAGGAGGTTCTTGCCCATGTTGACACCATATTGCATTTTCTTGACTGTCTGGGACTCATTTTAAACATTGCAAAGTCCACTTTGGCTCCCATTCAGAAATGAAGTTCACTGGAGCCCTTTTAGATTCCACAAGGTTGAGGGTGTTCCTGCTGACCAACTGCTTCCAGGCAATTCAACAGCTCTGTCTCAGTCTGCAATCTCAGCCTTCCACGACAGTCTGTCTGTCTCTGAGTCTATTGGGCCATGTGTCTGCTTGTACACAGGTGATCCAGTTCACCAGGTTGCATCCTCGCCTTCTTCAGATGAGGCTCAGGATAGTTTACCGCCCTGCCTTGCATTCTCTGGACAGGTTGGTTTACCTTCCTCCAGCAGACCTAAATTACTTGCACTGCTGGGAGTCCCCACACAATGTGTGACAAGGAGTCCCCTTCACTTGGCCCTTTCCAACCAAGTTAGTGGTTACCGATGCTTCCCTTCTGGGTTGGGGGATGCATCTTGACTCGTTGAGGGTGCAGGGCCTGTGATCAAAACAGGAAGCCTCACTCCATGTCAGCGTGTTGGAACTTTGGGCCATCCACAATACACCTTGCACTCAGTTTGCTGAGACTGCATTTGGCAGCAGTATCCGTGTTCCACCCCTCCCCGACCCATTCAAGGGAAGTCTGTTTGTTTTTTCTAATGCCATGGTGATGAGATATCTGAAGGGGATTCTCTGCTTACATCCTCTGGCCCAAGAACTGGTTCCCTTGTGGCACCTAAACACGATTCTGGCAGCTCTGATGGGCCCTCTGTTCGAGCCCCTTGCATCCTGTCCACTGCCCCCAGTCTCAGAAAACCACATTCCTGATAGCCATGACTTCAGCAAAAAGAGTTGCAGGCCCTAATGGCTGAGCTTACGATCAGTTTTCTGAGGACAAGACCTTTTATCCAAGACCTTTTATCCTTTCATCTGAATCAGGCAGTTTATTTATCTGTGTTTTTCCCTAAGGCTCTTTACCAGAAGAGCAGCACCTTCCTTTTTAAAAAATGGAACATGTTAATTTGTGTCCTAAAAGTCAATATTTATTTGTCAGCGTCTGTTTAATATGTAGTAAACAATTTTGAATGACAAAATTGTTACTGACAGTTGACTGTACATATAGGATTTCAGATATGGACAGCACTGAATATAGTGAAGATACCTGGTTATCAAACTCCTCTAAGTTGGATGTTAAAGACATTGGGATTTATTATGAAGGTAAAGATGTTTCAATGTGTTCGTTCTGAATGACAGAATTTTACTAGTAAATTTGTTTTCCCTTGTGTAACATAATTTTTAAAGTTGTAACAATGATTGCAATATACCTAACATATACATATTTTAAAAATGTAAATATCTTCCTGAATTGCAAGGTGGAGAACTAAAACACAATAGCATATTAAGTACTGATAAATTATTGTCTCACAAATTGCTCTGTTTATGCTGAGACATCTTTCATTTCTGTGATTAAACCCCTACTCTATTTTAGACATTTAGGGTTTGAACCAGCCAAAAATAGCCTCTGTGGCTGCTGGAAATTCTAGAAGCCTTTTTTGCTTGGCACCTGTGGACACAAATTATAATCGTAATAATAATACAATGCATTCATACAGTTGTCTTGACAAAAAGGCTGAGGCTCTTTTACAGTTCATGCAATTAAAAACAATATTCAGCAAATACCTTTTAAAGTTTTGATTTAAAAATAAAAAAAAATTGACTTTCCATTTATTGAAAGGAAGCCAGTTGCATAACTTGTCAATAAATATTAAGCGGCAGAGGTGAAATCCTGGCTCCACTGAAGTCAGTGGCAAAACTCCCATTGACTTCATTAAGGCAAGGATTTCACCACAGATTTTAAGCTGTGGCCTACCTTTCTGTGTTTGCAATTTTTTTATTTTTTTTTTAAACCTGCTGCACACAATAGTTTGGTCTCCTGGGGGCTGTAATACTTTTGTCTAATTCTGGTAGTTGGACTCTGTATGGAAAAGCCTGGGTTGTGCTTAGTGGAGTGGCCTGTGTTGTATAGGAGGTCAACTAGATGATCTGGTGATCCCTTCAACCCTTAAATTGTAGGTGCATAATGGGAGGCCCAGCTGAAACCCTAAAGACTGTAGTTTAAACATTTTAATATTTTATGTACGTGTATAAATCAGAACAGCAGACCTTGACCTCAGAGATTCTTTTATGGAAATAATTTATCCTGAGTGCTTGAAGCGTTTTTTGTAGCAGCTTTTCACAGAGTGGAATTTTGACTAAGTCTAAATGCTCATGGTAAGATAATGATATTGAGATGTCATTGAATTTTATCAGAGTTACAGATGTTTTAATAAGGTACTTTCTCTACAAGGAAAAGTACATTAAAGGGATCTGGAAGAATTTTGCAGTTGTACTCTTATCTGGATAGTATCCCCATAAGCAAATGAGGTTATGTTGTCAGCCATTTTACTATACATTTACTGTACTCTGTATCTGAAATAAAGTGAGGGGAAAATACTATTGAAAATGCCAGTTTTGTGTTGCAAGTAATTGTGTATACTCCGGTATATGTAAATAGGACAACTTTATTTTGAGAACTTAGCTAAAGGGGTGTGTGTGTGTGTGTGTGTGTGTGTAAACTTAGAAATATATATATAGTTTTATATGTAACTTTTAAAAATGTATTTTAAAACAGCAGGACTTTAACCTTAAAGCAGGAAACAGAAGCGGTGTTATCAGAGGTCATTGAGTTGATTAAGCGACTAGAAGCTGAACGTAAAGAGGCTGAAGAAGCTTTGAAGCGGGAAAAACAGCGAAAGAAAAAGCTTGCAATGAAAATTGATTGCATGTCCATTTGGAGGCTTCAGCAATTCCCTATAGCTGTACAAAAAGGTATTGTGATTAAAACTAACAGTTTTCGTTAAGTTGTAGTCTGCCTATTATAAGGGAGAGAATAATCAAGTACAGTTATACTGGAGTCCCATTAGCTCTTCTAGCACTGCAGTAAACTATTGACTTACTGTTAGGAATTTGGTTTACTTAAACAATTATGCAGAAAAAAATTGAACATACGATGGAACTATTGAGCATTTATTTAGGAAATAGCATAAGAGTGCACAAAATGGTCTACAAATATATCAAAGGAATGAACATTGGGAAGAGGAAGAAATTATTCAGGGTGATGCAGGGAATGTGAACTAGGAGCAAAACATAAAATTAGACTAAAATAAAAATTGTTTTTAGGAATAAGTAAAATGTAGAAATACTTGGATAAAAAACTTATTTAGTAGGAGCTAGATGATTTTGGTCTTCGGTGCTCAAATATCTAGAAGGTGGTCATAGGTTTAGGATGTGTACTGAGAAGCCTGTCAATATTCCTCTTTGTCTCTGCTGTAAACAAAAAAACATAACACCTCACCATAGTCATCAAAAGTATTGCAATATTTTATTGTTAATTATACTCAAAGTTCCCTATTTACATTTATTTTGTGAATTAAAGGTGAACCATTTTATGTATTATAGTACCTTTGTTGTAACTTCCTTTTAACCGTGACAGCAGTTTAAAAGTTAAAAAAGAAAACAAGAGTTTGGAAAGAAAACTTTCCAAGAATAAGAATAAAAGTTTAAAAGTAGGCACTGTTTTCAGAGAAAATAATTTATGTATGAAGCCTAATCTTAAACTAAAACTGTTAATTTTATAATAGAAGTTTTTCTGTAGTTTTTTCTTTAAAGTTGTTTTTCTGATTTGAAACTGATTATTATTCCTGCATCTTTATTTGGGATGAGTTTTAACTCTTTTTATTTTGCCTTTGTGTGGCAGTAACTTATTAAACTTTAAAAAAAAAAAAGGGTGGTATGTTGCTAATTTACCTATCCTAATCTATCATTGATAATCAGTCTGAATTTTAATTGTCGTTAGACAATGACTGATAGTGGCTTTGGAAACAGGAGACTCTGTGTTCACGCCTTATCCACTTCCAACGAGTGCCTTTGTCCTTCTGAAGGGCAATATGTCAAGCAAGCAAAACATAATGGTATTTTTACAAACATATTTTGAGGAAAGAGGAGGTATTGGGGTAGAAGGTCATCAGGCTCACAGTTCACATTCACAGAGCGATCTGAAACTACTTTCGGGAGAAATTCGTGCTACAACTGAAACACCGGTTTGTCAAGGAAGAATGGGGAGACTGATAACTGTGGATTTTTAATTCTTCAATACAATAATTCAGGATTATAGCTACTAAAAGGGTTACTTTCTCATTCAACAGTGATACTTTAAATCATATTCATGTATTACCATATGGACATATTAATTTCAGCATACTCATCTGCACTTTGATTAGAAATATGAAATGTTTGGAACATGGAATATAATTAACACATTTTCAGTTTTGTTAATATATGCAGTGATATAATATTGTTTTTAAAAAATCAGCATGGGATTCTAATGTGAGAAAATTCTGAAACTCCACTCCCTTGAGTTACATCACCAAAGCCAGCTGATGAGATTCTTTCCTTGTATTAACTTGTATTGTCATTATCATCATTATAGATGTTGTTATTTATTCAAATGCAAAAACTATGCTAAAGTGAAGGTAAGCAGGAGAGTACATATCTGTAATTTCAGGGTAAAAAACGTTACAGGGATTTTGTAACTATCTCAAGCATTACAAACCCAGGAATTTCATAGTTAAAGTGTAGCAAGGTCTTTCTGAACCTGGCATCAGACCCTGCATCTTCCTCTACATCTTCCTAAGTTTCACTTCTGTTTCAGTCATTTGCTGATTCCCAGCACTCCTGGCTCCAAGCACTGTCAGTTCACTGCAGTTGACCTAACCCACTGTCTGAGCCTCCAAAATCCACCCCTTTCATGGTATAAATCAAAAGAGAGTCTAGTTCAAAAGAAATAATTTTGGGGAAATTCTGTGTTATGCTGGAGGTCACACTAGATAAACACAATGATTCCTTCTGGCCTTGGAATCTTTGAATTCTGGGCTATACTCTTCATTTGTCCTCCCTTTTCAGGAATAACTGCACACTCTTAAATGGCCAGCTTACTGTGTGATATAAGTGTACACATAAGAAATGCAAACATGTTGAGGTATAGAAATGCACAGTTTAGGCACTCAAAGAACCTTCATTCTGCCCTCTATTGATGCCATGATATAATGGTATAATTAAGACATTTTAGTGTTTGTCCTAGACTAGATGAGTGGCCCTCCACTTGGACACAGTCACTAATCATCACTCTGCCAAAGAAAGGAAATCTGAAATTGTGTCAAAATTACTAGACCATAAGCTTATTTAGCCATCCCAGCAAAGTGATACTGAAAGTCATATTGAACAGTGTCATAAATATAACGGGAAGGGTAAACACCTTTAAAATCCCTGCTCGCCAGAGGAAAAACCCTTTCACCTGTAAAGGGTTAAGAAGCTAGGATAACCTCGTTGGCACCTGACCAAAATGACCAATGAGGAGACAAGATATTTTCAAAGCTGGAGGGGGGAGAAACAAAGGCTCTCTCTGTCTGTGTGATGCTTTTGCCAGGAACAGAAAGGAATTGAGTCTTAGAACTTAGTAAGTAATCTAGCTAGATATGCGTTAGATTCTGTTTTGTTTAAATGGCTGAGAAAATAAGCCAAATACGGGGAAAGACGTTTCCAAGCGGGCTCTTTCCCTGTTATATATTTGTTAGACGCTTGGTGGTGGCAGCAATAAAGTCCAAGGACAAAAGGTAAAATAGTTTGTACCTTGGGGAAGTTTTAACCTAAGCTGGTAAAAATAAGCTTAGGGGGTTTTCATGCAGGTCCCCACATCTGTACCCTGGAGTTCAGAGTGGGGAAGGAACCTTGACAAACAGACTGAAGCTACAAGCGGAGACTATTATCGCTGAAGAACAGGCTGGCTTTCATGCTGGAAGAAGTATCACAGAACAGATTTTCAACCTTTGTGTTCTGCGTGAGAAGTACTTACAACACCAGCAGGACATCTGCCATGTCTTTATTGACTTCAAGAGGCTTTTGACAGTGTGGCATGAAGCTCTCTGGGCAGCCATGAAGAAGTGCAGTGTTGGTTGTAAGCTTATTCTTACCATTAAACAACTGTAAGCCAAGGCCAGCAGTGCAGTTCTCGTCAATGACACAATAGGAGAGTGGTTTTGCACCACTGTTGGAATCCAGCAAGGCTGCCTTCTTTCGCCCACACTGTTCAACATCTACTTGGAGATCATAATGACTGATGCCATAGAAGATCACATATGCACAGTCAGCACTGGGGGGCGAACAATCTCAAATCTTCGGTTCGCGGTTATATTGATGGCTTGGCAGGCAGTGAAGATGAACTTGCCAACATTGTGAAATGATTGGATGAAACCTCCACAAAATATGGCATAGAAATTAGTGCAGAGAAAACCAAGCTGATGACAAAACAAACGTGACAGTATCAGCTCACATATCACTGTCAGTGGACAAGAGCTGGAGACAGTGAAACAGTTTAAGAATGTGGGGGCAGTCATCACTGATGAAAGATCCAAGGCAGAAATTCTGGTAAAAACTGCATAAACAACAGCAGCAGTGGCAAAGCTAAAGCCAATTTGGAGGAGTAAGAACGTCTCCCTGGAATCAAAACTGAAACTGCTACATGCATTGGTCATCTCCATTTTTCTGTGTGCGTGCGAGACATGGACCCTTACAGCAGAACTTGAACAGAAAATGCAGGTAGCAGAGTTGAGATACTTCCGTAAAGTCCTGGGCATCTTCTACTTCAACCATGTCACTAATGAACAGGTTCTCAACATCATCACCCAATGCGCTGAGTCATATGAAGACCTCCTGACGACCATGAAGAAGCGCAAGCTGAAGTGGTATGGCCATGTAACAAAATCATCTGGCCTATCCAAGATGCTCCTTGGATGGATTGATGGACAGAAGAGATGGATAGGAATGTACTTCTCAGAGACTCAAGCACTGACACACAGTCGTCAGGGGTGGAGACAATTGGTTGATTGCTCATCAATGATGGTGCCCCAGCAACCAATGCAGTTATGGGGGGGGTGGTGGTGGTGGTGGTGATGATGATAATGGCATGAGATTGATTGATTTTTTTTATAAGACACATTAGGTTTTTTTCCATATGTTTTTCCCTCATGGTGTCTCACAGAGCAGAGTTAACTCTTTCAGTTGACTTCACTGATCAGGCCAGTATTCCTTACAGGAGTCCTGCTCAGCAGAATCCAAATGTTGTTTGACTCTCCCAAGGCCTTCCTACGAGGTCTGCTACAGGAGCAACATTTCTATACTTTTTCCCCAGTTGATAAAACGTGTTCACTTCCATCAATTTGGTACCACTGAATTTGGGTATTCTGTTATAGTCAGGGCACCAGTTACTACTAGTATTTTTGTAATATAATATTGAGTAGGCTTTTTCTGAGCAGGGTTAAATGACATGGTGTTAATAACACCTGTAGCAGCCAGTGGCCACACCAAGAGCTTTTCCACTTGGGGATACTCAAGAAAGTGATGCCAAATTAACTAAAGATTTGAATGTAAAGTAAGTGAATTAAGCTAAACGAAATGAATGCCACTTTATTTCTGAAATGAGAGCATCCACATGGGTTTGATGCACTTTAACTAATGCATTTCACTTTAATTTACTTGGTTTAACTTACATAGGTATCCACATGTTTCCTGACACTAAAACTGTTTCCAATATTGTTGCAGCTGAGCTGGCATTTGCATTGCTGGGAAAAGTTTACAACATGTCTTAACTGTAGGCAAAGTCCTCATGGCTAGTACATTTTATCAGATGTTTTAATTTTGTGAATTAGGGAGATCTGTATCACTTGCCTTTGGCTGCCTCTCTTTTTTTATGCACTTATTTATTTTTATTTGTA